CCGACACTCATTTAACAGGATGATCATTTTAAGAAACTTAGGGGATATTCTAATCCTTCCAAAATCTGCCACAGGTTTTTTTCTGCTCGCAGTGTCAAATACTTTGGTGAGATTAATGAATGTCGCATAGAATCCTTTGTTCTCTAGCAGTTGTTCGAGAACGAATACTATGTCTGTGGTACTCTTATCTGTCTGAAACTACATTGGCTTTCAGTAGAAGTTCTGTCACAGTAAGTATTAATTTATTCAGGAGTATTTTTGCAAGGATTCCAGTAATAGAGAATAGTGTCATACTTCGGTAGTTTGAGCATTGCCTTGCCAGTTTTCAGCGGCCTTAAGAGTCTCTCCCACGGTATAAACTATATCCAACTTGGTTTTCAGTGGTTGTTGTGTGTTGCACTGTTGAACAGTGTGCTGAATTGTTGAGCTTTGGACTATGCAGTTAGTATTCACGAGAGTCTGAAAGTGTTCGGATCATTGGTTTAGGATGATTTTATTTCTGGGAAGCATTTGGCCAGCTGAACTGAGTAAGGGGCTTTGAACCTGATGTATGGGCTTATCACTGCTTTCAGAGATAAAGTGATGGTGACTGTATCACAAAAATCTGGTGATAGTTCATCTTGTTCCCAACAATTCACAAAGAGCTCGTGAAATTTAGCGTGCGGTCTTTCCACTACATAACAAGCAACATGTTGTTCTCCTCAGTATAATGTTCCAACCCTCCAAGCTAATTTTGCAAAAAAAGACATGACCGGCGCCATGCCCAAAAGATTCCTGCAGATAATAAGGTCTAATCCTTGGTGACTTCAGTAGCAGAGGAGGTAAGGACTCTGAAGCCTATGAAGAACTTACTATATGGTGTTGGAAATTACAATGACAATGGAGCCATCTGCCAGAGTTTTGTGTAGGGCAGCAGCGCATCATCACCAGCCAATCTGGATGCGACTCAATCGCTGGCATCTTAATGCGCTAGAGAAACATTTGTAATGTCCATCATACCGAGCGATGCCTAGTATAGAATTTCATATAGATTACCGCCTTGTTTGATGCAAACTTATCTTCCACTTTAAGCCCGACCTGATAGGGTGACATCCCAAGGAGGAGGCTCAAGGTTAACTATCTTCGACAGGCTGTAGTGCGAGACAGCTCCCAGGTAAACCTTCAAACCACGTTTAAGATCATTCTATAGATTCCTTTCTGAAGTGGCTTGGTAACATATTAAAAATAGCATCCTGAAGTCCTCTGAAGAATCCTTAGAGTTCTCCTCAAAGGTTTGATAAAACAATCAAGAGATCCGTGAATTGTAAACAAAAAAGAGACCGCTCATCAAACATACCATTTGTCATGTAAGAAAAGCAGCTTTTCATCTTGCATGCCAACAGAAACTTCGGCACATACAGCACGAGTAGTGGATCATCCTCATAGAAAAGGCCCAACTATATAGATATGGGTAACCATAAAGGGTTCTATGGAGCTCTAGGAGCAGTGTGTAGACCCATATATTAGGTCCAAAGTCCTCCTACTCAGTTCAGCTGGCCAAATACTTCTCAGAGATAAAATCCTCATCCTAAACCAATGGTCTGAACATTTCAGACTTTTTTGAGTGCCAACCGCATAGTCCAAGGCTCAACAATTCAGCACATTACAACAATCAGTGAAAATCAAGTTGGATATAGCCTACACCATGGAAGAGACTCTTAAAGACCAGACAACAGCTGAAAACTGGCAAGACAGCTGGGCTTGATGAAATCCCATCTGAAGTCTTTAGTATGGAGGTCAAGCACTCCAAATTAAATTTCATTAGCTCCTTGCAAGTTGTTGGAACAAGATCTTCGTGATGCAGCTATCGTCACTCTATATAAGAAAGGAGAAAAGTAGATTGCTCAAACTATCGCAGTATAACTCTGCTCTCTATTACTGGGAAAATTCTTGCGAAAATATTTCTGAACAAATTAATACTTGTTGTGGCAGAACTTCTATTGAAAGCCAATGTAGTTTCAGACAGATAAGAGTACCACAGATTTAATATTCGTTCTCGGACAACTGCTAGAGAACAAAGGATTCTATGCGGCATTCATTAATCTCACCAAAGCATTTGACACTGCGAGCAGAAAAAAACTTGTGGCAGATTTTGGAAGGATTAGGATATCCCCTAAGTTTCTTAAAATGATCATCCTGTCGATGCTCCCATTGAGTCCTTTCCGACAATCAGTGATGTGAAACAAGGTTAAGTTCTCACACCAACTCTATTCATAGTCTTCAGTATGATGCTCCAACGGATTATGGTAGATCTTGATAAAGAAAATGACATTCACATTCGATATCGTATCGGTGGAAGCTCATTCAACTTATGGCGACAGACGGCCCACACCAAAACCACCAATCACTCTGTCCGAGAGCTAATTTTTGTTTGCGATGAAGCCTTTGTTGCTCACAAAGAAACAGCTCTGCAGAGGTAATATCGTGCTTCGCAAAGCTGCAGAGCTTTTTGGACTGGAAGTCAGTTTGAAGAAGATAGAAATTCTCTACCATCATACACTACAGGAAGACTACATTCTCACATCATCATAAGTGAATCAGAGCTTAAGTTGGTCGAGCAGTTCGGTTATCTGGAAGCATTAACTTCTCGGACGATTAGACAAAAAAGATGGACAGTAGATTGTAAAAGAATACAGAGGATTTCAAAAACGAATCTGGAACAATAAACACCTGAAGAAAAATACAAAGATTAGTATCTACAAAGCCATTGTATTGTACTCTTATATAGGTCTGAATCATAGATCATTTGCCGCCACCAACCGCGACTTCTCTAACGCTTCATTAGCGTTGCCTCCGCACAATCCCACACATCCACTGGACTGACTATGCGGCTAATGTTTGTTACCTCCATAAACAGGCAGGGGTCATAAATACTGAGGTCACGCTGTTAAGGATACAACTACGTTGGGCTGGACACGTCTTCAGGATGAAGGATCACCGCTCCCCTTGTCAT